CGAAGAACAATGCGACATTGCAGGCATTGCTGCATGTGTGCCATTTAAGGGGGGACGATAAAATTGAGAGCGGCCGTCTCTGACGACGACATAATGGGGGCCCGCCGCAATGCAAATTGTCTTCAAACGGTGCATAAATATGCGCAAAACTGCACCGGCGTCTGCTGCGAATTTACACCTATCTCAACTTAAAGACGTCCCAGCTAAATAAATACGTTACACTGAATACAACAAAGACGGCAAAAGAAAGATTAGAACCAGGAATGCGAAAATGAGACGTATCTGGTGTCGATTTTCAATCGGTGATACTGAAGCATCTACATTTCTCAATAGAAAACTTAATAAATTTCATTAATTCGATTTGATATTTCAAATAGGCTTCAAACTTTGATTTGTAAATAAACGAATGAATAATGAAATTAAATTTGTTTTTGAATTTGCAGATAAAATGCAGTCGAAGACGACGACACCCAGAGCCCTTTTGACCGTCGTCTCGGAGGGGGCGAATTGCAGGCATTGTCGTGAGAAGATCAGCGTCATCGGGGCCGGATCCGTCGGAACGGCAATAGCGTTCACTCTTCTGGCGCAGGTAATTTAATTCAATTAATTAACTAATTACACACCCGGTGGAGCATCGATTCAATAAAAAGCACATGCACCATCGGTTTCTACCTCGAATATGCGGAAAGCGCGACTCCGCTTCTTTCATTCTTTTATATTTTTTTTCACATCATTCATTCGCATCCCCCCTTTTCTTTTCTTTTCCTTTCTTTTCTTTTTCATTTTCAACTGCAGCGAACAAAATGCGTAAGCATAAAATTTGATGATGGCACTATTAATTATAGAGTGTGGAAAGAAAAGAAGGGAAAAAAAAAACGAAGTCGTCCTTCCCATTTCATTATGCTGTCGTGCTCGAGCGGAAACGGGAAGCTTTCATTTACGTATGTTTACGAACTGAAGAAAAAAAATGTGTACGCTTATTATTATCATCATCATCATCGTCGCTATTTTTTTTCTCCCTTTTTCATTTCTCCCCTCGAGTCGTCCGAGAAACAAAAGGGATGTGGAAGAAAAAAAAACAAATTAACGACACCTAATGTGTAATACGCTCAATGAACATTGACTGTGAAGAGAGTGAAACGAAAAAAAATTTGGTATACACAAAAGCTATGTACGAACAATGAGATCGCGCGGCATTTTTCAATCGTCGGTAGAACGATCCATGCGAGGCGAGTGAAAAATGTACATAATCCGATCATAAACGCCAACTAACTTTCTAATTGTTCCTCAATGCTCTTGATTTTTGTTTTTTTTTTTTGGTTGTTTGTAAGTTTTTTATTTTGGTGTTTAAAGCGTACGGAGAGTTTGGAATTTACATTTCGCTTATGCAACAAAACTTTGTCTGAAATAAGAAAAGCAAAGACAAATTGATTTGGATAGAAGCGTGACGATTGTATAAAATGAAAATAATAGAAGAAATTATATTAAATTATATTGATTTAAATTTTATAATGGTTGTATGTTTCTGTTCGTATTTTTTATTGTGGAATGAAACGAATTGGTGTGAGCTTGAGACTTGTTCAATAACATAAATAGTGTTGTACCGATGGAGTGGAAGCAAAGAGGAGAGGACAACGAAGGAGGAGGAGGAGATCGGTCGAGTACGTGTATTTATAAGGATTGCACCATAAAACGTATAGATTTAGTGGGAGCCATTAAAGACACTCTCGCAGTCTATAAAGAGAGATAGTAGATAGTAGCCACTCAAACAGATATAGAATCCTTTTTCCAAATTCTCGGAACTCTTGGGGAGAGCGAAGATAAAACCAATATACGTAATACGAATACGTGTATAATGTGTAACAGAAAAATAGTGATGCGACACAGGACAGAATGTTTGTTTGAAAAACGAGTTTGCGTGTTTTGCTTTCAGATTGGAGTAGATACGATGGTGATGAATGGAAGGGCAATTGTAGAAAAGATAAAAACGAGATCTTGTATGCGAAATTGTACTAGATCTTGTAAGAAATATGTTAGAATTTAATAGTTTCAATATACATTTAAATAACGATTATTTGACAGAAAGTGATGCGATGATGTCACCAGATGGGAACAAAGAGCGTGAGTTGAGAATGTACGAGTGAAGAACAAGTTTGTGTGCTTTGCTTTATTGTGAGCAGGAGGAGGTCGTGGAGAAGAGATATGCATGCGTATCTGGGCATAGATAAGAGGATGGTAGATGGCTGGGCATTAAGGGGAACGAAGGAAGATTGTAGAAATGGTGAAATCGCGCGCGGTTAGCCCGAAAGAAATGTGTAGAAAATGAAAGGAGGCTGCGACCGCTCGCTGCGTTAATCTCCACGATTTACATCCAGTGCGTCCGGAATCTCACTAAACACATCTCCTTATTGCCTTTATTAATTTCTCTGCCGTATCTTTTATTTCGTCCTGTGTCCGACTTACACGTCCATACATAAATACGTGCGTCCGTCTTCCCGATTTGATCATCATCATCATCTGCATCATCTGCATAGTCTTCCCATGCTAAACTCTCTATCTCTCTATACTTTACAATATACTGACTGTAGTAGTATATATGCACTAACTATATGTTTGTTTCTTTTCTTGTTGCTCTCGATGTGCCCTGCGATCGACGATGGTTATCTCCAACGATGCGTTTCTACGGCTGCCCCATGTACGACCAACGACACACAACAACAACAACACACTCACTCATGTTGTATGGCGTCGAGCTCAGAAAATATGCTCGGACTTGGTACTGATAGACAAGAACGAGGAGCTGGCCAGAGGTGAGATGCTCGATATCCAGCACGCCACTATGTACTTGGACAGTCCGCAGATATCATCGAGTACCGGTAAGTTATAAATGCGACGAGTTGGCTCCATCTTCCTCTGACTCGTCTCTAGAAACCCAATGATTTGTGAGATAGAGAGTGAAGAGGGTGGTACAATCGAATGCGTCGTTGTCGTTCTTCCATTGACCGTTTTATTATTTTCCAATTTAAATTTGCATTGCATTCCGATCGGATCCGCTCCAACGTTCGCGACGCTTCTAATAGCATCATGTAATTGCGTTTCATCTAAATCAGTGATTTCCAAACTTGAAGTTACTACGCCTCCGTCAAAAGTATGTAATCATTTGGAGCCTCCTCTTTCATAAAAGGAACGCGCATTACAGCAATTTGAATAAGAGCACAGGAATGTATCTACACTTGATGGATTCCCCAAACATTCAGCTCTCATATGCATCTTTTGGATTCATTCTGTCTATTATAGTTTTCGAGAAAATCGGTGAAATATGAAAACACTGCTTCTTCGGGCGTTAATTTTTCGTTTTTGAAACTTTGGAATTACAGACAAACTGATTTATTTTTTACTGTTAATTTTGAACAAGAATTACAGGAAACTGAATGAAATCACGGTAATGTATTTAAACTTGCTACAATCTTCAAATTTTGAACACGAATTACAGCCAAACGGCTAAAACCACAGTAATATATCGATACTTGCTAGATTCCTCAAACATTCAGCTTTCATATGCATCTTTTGGATTCATTCTATGTATTATAGTTTTCGAGAAAATCAATGAAATGT